AGGAGCCCCTCCAGCTCAGGGGAGGAGACCCCATGGACAGGAGCCCCCACCCCAGGATCAGGGGAGGAGACCCCATGGACAGGAGCCCCTCCAGCTCAGGGGAGGAGGCCCCATGGACAGGAGACCCTCCAGGATCAGGGGAGGAGACCCCATGGACAGGAGCCCCTCCAGGATCAGGGGAGGAGACCCCATGGGCAGGAGCCCCCACCCCAGGCTCAGGACACAACTTCTCCTGTGTATTCTGCATGCCCCAGTAGCGTCCACTCAAGGGAGCAGTCTGGCCTTTCAGGCACTCAGATGTGGGGGGCTTGCTGGTCCCCTATGGAGGAGGTGGGGCTGGGGCCAGGTGCCACCCTGGGGTAATGATCCCTGGATGCAGACCCCTGGATGGGCCAAGTGCACACCCCACACAGTGTGTCCATCAAAGGGGAGGGGGCTGGGGAAATTGGGGCCCCAGCTCTGAGGACCCCACACTAGTCTGGCCCAGAGATAGCCCTCTGCCCTGTCCTGGGGCCACCAAGCTCCTTCCTCCTCCCTCCACAGCCCGTCAAGAATGTGCCTGCCCAGGGCGGCAAAAATAGCAGCTGACACCTTCCTGGGGCAGGCGAGACCCTGTCTCCTTCTCAGGCACGTCTCCTTGTCCTCACTGCCTTCGTCTCCTCCCCTGGCCATTCCTATACTTGGTCAGGGGACTGCCTGGGCACACCCTGCCCCCCTTGCCCGGGCTGCCCAGCTGCTGGCCAAGGGGCTGCTGGGAAAGCTCAAATGCCGCTATAACACGAGGGTGCAACTGGGAGGCAGTGCCTGTGCTGGACCTGTCCACAGGGAGTTCCTGTCCTTCCCAGGCGTGACCACAGGTGGGTACAGCAGTGAGCAGCTCTCTTAGGAGGGTCAGAGCCTCCTGCGTCGGGACGGGGCCCCTGGCATCCAAGGAGACACTAGTCCTGGGGGCTGAGGTCCTCGGCCAGCGAACTGCCCAGCCCCTCACCTGGAAGCATGGTGGCCAAGACCAGGCCGCCAGCCAGCACCCGCCTGGGATTCTGACATTGTACCTGGGTGTTCTCTGAGCTTGGGATGGTGCAGGACACCTGGCCCCAGCCCAGACCACAGGGTGTGGAGGTGGGGAGGGTCCCCAGGAGCTATGAGGTGAGGGGCCACTCAGAGCGGGGGCCGAGAGGAGAGGGTCAGGGAGGAAGAGCCCCAGAGCAGCTGTGACGCAGCTTCCCCGGGCCCCTCTGGGCTTTCTGTGCGCGGCCCATGGAGAAGCACAGTGCGTCCCCAGGATCCCTGGGGCCCCCGCCTTGAGTGGCCCCCGCCCCGATACTGCCACTTTGTATAGATGACAGCAGGGCCAGGAGCTGTCTCAGGTCACCCCAAGGAGGAATCCACAGGGAGAAGCCCTAGGCTGCTCTCCGAAGCCCCGGTCAGGAACACACAGGGGCTGGACACTCCTGCCTCGTTCTTGGCTGGAAGGAGCAGTTTCTCCCAAGAGGCCCCTGCCAGCCCTCCTTGGCCTCAACGCCTGAAATCCCCTGGCCAGGTACCCTTGCCCACCAGGTCCTTTGCAGATTTCTAGAGGTTCTTGGGCATCCAGGATGAGAGGGGGCCAGGTGAGGCTGGCCACAGGGGAGCAGGGCCCAAAGCAGGGCATGGGTGCAGTCCTACTGCAAGTGATTGGCAGCGCCTCCTGCCCCTCCTCCTTGGTCCTTGTCACCTTCTTGGGAGGGAAAGATGGCATGTGGCCCCAAGGAACTTGACCTGACAGGCTATTTTCTGACAGGCTCTGAGATGGAACATGAAACTGGACAACTGGTCCCCCCTCAGCTGTTGCAATGCCATCCCCGTCCCCAGCACCTCCACCTCACTCTCCCCAACCAACAGGGATGGTGACCCAGACCGTGGAGGGGGCACCAAGGAGCCCTGTAGGCCTCAGGCACTCTGAGGAGGAGCAGGAGCCTCAGTTTCCCCACTGGTAGAGTGGACCCTTGCTGGGGTCTTGGAGGAGACTGGAGATAAGGAGGCTGGCCCCTTGCCCGCCCCCGCCCCCCGCCCCTGTCTTGGGTTTCTGGGCAGAGGCGTCTTGCTGATTTTGGTGTCTATTTCTGGACACCTCAGCTGTCACTGCTCCTTGTACATAACTCCCTGGGTGTGGTCACTGCCCCCTCTGTCGGCACTGACAGGTGTTGACCCTACTGGGTCAGAGGTGGCCACAGAAGGGCACGACCTCTGCAGCCCCTCCCCACGGAGTGGCACTAAGGGGAGGTGGAGGGGTTAGGGCCTGGACCTGAGGGGTGGGCGGTATCCAAGGATGAGGAGAAGCAGAGAGTCACAACCCCATAGGCCACATACCCTGGAGGTCCCAGAGAGTCTGGGCAGGGGTCTGGGAGGACCCGGGCTGTACCCCGGGCCCGGACGAGGATTCTGAAGACACACGTCAGCTAATTTTGTGGGGAAAACCCGTGTTCCCCACAGAGGGCTTGGGAACAGCTCCCGTCTTAGCAGCGGGCTGCAGATGCCAGTCCACAGATGTGTGGCGCCTTCTTAGGGAAGTTCTCTGGGGACCGTAACTGTCCTCTTCCAGTCAGCTATGACATGCTGTGGAGAGTCTGGTTTCTCAGACCCCAGGGCCCACGTTCTGACACAGCTGCTCAGAGTGATCCCAGGCCACCGTGGGGGTGTGTGGTGGCCAGTTCCTGCAACCCAGGGAGCCCAGGGACTGTCTCCATCTCCTAAAGAAGAGGGAAGACGAGGAGACAGGCCACTTGTGCACTCTGATTTGGAGGAGGGGGTCCTCAGGGGCCTGAGGCGCCCTGTAGAGAAGCTTCTTCCTCCAGGAGGACATGTGGCATGGAAGTCCCACTGGGAAGAGGGACTCTCATGGGGGACAGTGGAGTTGACAAGCCAGAGAAGATCCTTATTACCCATTTGGGGAGCCAAGCTCAGCCATCTTGGGGCTCCCAGGGAGGCCCCCAGCCTGGGCAGTGGCAGAGGCCACCAAGAAGCAGGTCCTAATCACATCAGCCAGACTTCCAGCGTCATTGGGCAGCCTGTTCTGCATTCCCGGTGACATTCCTTGGGGGTTCCCAGGGAGGGGTGGAGGCCATGACCTTCCAGAGTCCCAACCGGCTCCTGGATTCCAAGCTCCAGGCTGGAGACAGGGCAGGAAGGAGCAGGTCTGGGTCTAGGGGAGGGCTCACGGGGCTGGGTGCCCAAGGGCAGACCTGCCCCAGGACCAAGGGTCTGCTCTAACCCCATCCGCAGGAGTGCCCTCTCCATCCCAGCTCTGAGAACCCCCTGCTTCTGAACCAGGGCCGTTCCTAACTCTCCCCCTCCCCCCGCCAGAAACAGCCCACCTCCACCATGTCTGACGAGGAAGTGTGAGTACCGCTGCCCACTGCCCACCGCCCGCTGCTGCCAGCTGCCTGCCCAGTGGGGTGTGGGGCTGGGCTTCAGCGTAGGGCTGGCTCTGCCGTCCACGCGGACCTGCCAGTAGAAGTCCACCTCACCTCCCTTTCTCTCTCCCCCTCTCTCCCTCCCGGCCTCTGCAGTGAACAGGTTGAGGGTGAGTATCAGCTATTTCTCTCTCTTTACTTCTACCTCTAGACGGAAAAGTCTCCGCTGGGCAGGGGGGTCACCATGGGTGCCACGTGTCCTTTGGGAACCCTGGGCCTGAAAGTCCCAGATCTGCTATGTGGTGGGCTTCAGAGCAACCCCTCTGGAAGTGGCCCTGCATTCCGGCCTTCCCCGGCCTCTAAGAGGTGGTCACATCTCCACCTGTTCCACCTACGGGGGAGCCTGTTGGGGGCTGTATGGCCCTGAGGACCTCAAGGGTCTGGTCTCATTCCACTGCCAGACAGGCTTCTTTGGTCCTGAGGACCCCTGGCCCCCATCCCTGGCAGAAGCTGCTGGACCTCAGGGTCCGGGCAGCTGGCCCCTGCTAACATGGCTCCTCTCTTTTGTTCTATTCCAATGCAGAGCAGTACGAGGAGGAAGGTAACTAACTCAGGCAGCCCTCGAGGCCCTCAGCCCACCCCAGACCTTCCTCTTAACAGAGCCCTCTCCACCTGGACCTTGGGTCCTCCTCAGCTCATCCATTAACTGTCCATCTTCGTCACCACTAACCACGAGCATTGATCATTAACTTGTTTAATGATTAATGTGTCACCTAGTTAATGGTGAATGACTTCATCATTAATCAAGTCATCATTAACTTCCCATCACTCCAGTCCATTAATGGACACTCATTAATTGCTCACGAATGCCTTGTGGTTGTCTGTGCCCAGTGTGTGGAGTTTCATCTGATCATTAAAACTCTCACCCATTAATATCAGGGCCGGGGCGCACAGCTGCCATCTCTCAGCTCCTCCCCGTGTCTCTGTCTGTCCCTGTCTCTCCCGGTCTCTGTCTATCTCTCAGTCTCTCTCTGTCCTCTTGTTTCTGACTCCCTGTCTCCGTGTCTCTCTGTCTCTCAGCATCTGTCCCTGTCTCTCAATCTCTCTCTGTCTCCTTGTCTCTGTCTCTCAGCATCTCTCCATACCACCCCCCACCCCTGCACCCTGGGGCGCACTCAGAGCACCTCCCTGGATCTGTCGAGCCCGGGCAGGCGTGGGCGGGTGGGGATCACTGGGCGCGGGCGCACCTGGGAGCGCTGGGCCGTGGCAGTTCCCAGGCGCGACGGGCGCTGCTCAGGATCCTGGCTCCCACTCAACTGGGGGCGGCTATCACCGCAGCTTTAGCCGGCGAGGTCTTCTGGGTGTTATGTTTTGAAAATATTTTGAAAACATTCGCTACCTTAACAACGTCAGCAAAATGTTTCTTTTTCTGCCGAAAAGGTGGCAAGGCTCCTTTCTGAGTGGGCAAGAGGGCCCGGGCGCTGGCCGTCCCCTGGGGAATGCCACAGAAGGGTCTCAGGCCGCGCTTTCCTCCAGGCACCCCCGAGACAGGGACCTTCCCTGTCAAACAGGCCACACACCCAAGCTTCCTCAAGGCACAGAGGTCACGAACCCCAGGACCCTCTGTCTCCTGCAAAGCACGACATAGGCAGGGCCTCTGCATGCACCACAGCTCCCTGGACACACAACGGCCAGGTCCGAGTGGGGAGTGCAGGGGTGTGAGTGCCCCTGCAGGGAGGCCCAGGCCCAAGCCCAGCCAGGCTGGGCACTGTGCAGGCTGAGTGTGCCTGAATGTCTTGGGAGGCCCCTGTGGACTCCCCACACAGGCCACCTCCTGTCCCCCCCCGCCACATCCCTCTAATGACGGTCCTGTTCCTTCCTTCCCTGCTCGTTCCTGCTCTCGGCTTCTCTCACCTCAGAAGAGGCCCAGGAGGAGGAAGGTGAGTGGGCCCAGGGCCCAGCCCCCGCCAGCTCCAGTCGTCCTACCCACTGTCCCCACCCTCACAGTGGCCCTGGTGTGCTTGTCTCCCCGCTGGGTGCGACCCTGGCCCCCGTCTCTAAGGACTCGGGGACCTCCTGTCTAATCCTGTCCTCTCTCCTCCCTGCCACCCTGCACGCCCTGGCACCCCTCCGCAGCAGAAGTCCAGGAGGAAGGTAGGCGCACATGGACTTCTGGTCCCCATGTGGGGCCCGGGGCCTGGCTGGAGCCCAGGGGGTGGGGAGAAGGGGAGGCCATGAGGCGCCAGCCAGCCAAGGGGCCCCACATGTGGCCCCCAGTAGTAACCCACTAACCAAGGCCGATGCTTCACAGAGAGGGTGCAGGACCCCAGTGGGCCCCAGAGGCGGCCAAGGCCCCCCCCCCCCCGAGTCCCTGCTGTTGGGGACCATGCGCCGCTCAGCTGGGAGCAGCTGGTGTGAGGATCGGGGGAGATGGGGCCAGGGAACTGAGAGTCCCCATGGTGGCAGCCTCTGACCCCGCAGCCAGACCAGGACATGAAGCCACATCTCAGGATAGCTCAAGTGTCGGGAGAGGCCCTGCGGCCTGGCAGATGCCTTCATCCCAGCCTTTCTTGGGGTCTGGGCCAGGCAGGGCAGCAAAGGAGGTCTGCATCTGGCTGTTAGGACGGCAGTAGACAGGGCATCCCAGGTGTGCACCTGTCCCTGGGGCCTGCGTCCCTGGGCTACAGCCCCTTCGCAGGTCCCTGGAGCCACTACCAGGTTGCAGGCCTGGACACTCTAGAGGTGGTAGGGAAAGAAGGGGGAGCCCACCACGGCAGCTCCCTGGGACAGACAGCATGGAGTGACCAGGACAATTCACGGCCTGCGTCCCCAACCCCCCTGCCTCCATTTCCCTGATTTTGAGACAGGTCAGGCTGAGGGTGGGCTGAGGCTTTCCTGCCTCTCCTGCTCCCGAGTGGGCCACAGGAGTTGGGGGAAGCAGGGCTGGGGGGACAGCACCCCGGCTAACTCTAATCCATGTCTTGCTCACCCTGCACGTCCCCTCCCCGTGGCCTTGGTGACGGGCTGTTTCCACTTAACCTCGGATCCCTCTCCTTTGGCTCTGACCCGCGGTTTGCCTCTTGCTCTGTGGCCTCCTTAGCCCCTGAAGTTCATGAACCAGGTATGTGACATGACTTCAGAGCCACATGGCCGATGTGAGTGTGTGCAGGAGCAGGGCCAGAAGGGACAAGAGGCTGCCAGCCCCGCACCCGGTCCTGTGGTTGGCGGCTCTGCCCCCCCCCACCCCGCCCCTCCACTCACGGTGTCTCTCCTCTTTCTCTCCCCAACCTGGTGCTGCCTGACGCTGCTTCCAGAGGAAGTCCAGGAAGGTAGGCCTCGCACTGCAGCCAACCAGAGCTGCCCCTTCCTCCTCTGTCCCCTGGCCCCCTGTGTCCCACCGCACTTCCAAGTCCCCCACCTTGGACTGAGCCTCAGGCCTCTAACTGAAGTCCGACTCAGGTGGGACTAGAGACAGGTGAAGCTCCCCCTGTCAATCTGGCAGAGGGTTCAGGGGCAGGGACGGTGAAGCAGATCTTGGGAGGATGGTGCTGGGGTCCACTGGGACCCTCTGGACTCATCAGGTGGAATAGAGAAGAGCAGAGAGGAGGGGTAGGGTGGGTGGCCTCCGCCCTGCCACAGATAGGAAGGCAGCGAAGTAAGGAGGCGGTGAGGTGGCAGGGAGGGTGGAAGGGCAAGTGGGGTGAAGCAGAACAGCAGGCTGAGGCCCAAGGTGGGGACGTCAGGGAGCTGGAACAGCCGGGGGGCCGTGCGTGCAAATGAGCCGTCAGTCAGGTCCCAGCATCCCACCCTCGCCTGGGCCAGGGCCAGACACACCCGAGCAGGCGAGAGGGGACCGGGGGGCCTGCCCTGCCGCAGCAGGCTGGTGTGCTGGGCGGAGCTGCAGATCCAGGTCAGGGCGCTGCTCGGGAGCTTCTCTCCAATCACCTGCTGCCTCGGTGGGCCGCGGGGCCTTCCCGCTGGGCCGGGGACCCCCACTCCAGCCCTGCCTGCCCAGAGAGGTCACCCAGACATGGAAGGAGAGGGACGGGGGGTGGACTCCCAGGCCACGCAGGAAAATGGTGTCCAGGAGCCAGTCTAGTGGGCGACAAGGTCACCAGGCCATCCTGGGACCGGCCCTGAGGCCCAGGATGGACACACAGGAGGGAGGGAGTCGGGGGGGCAGGCAGGCAGTGCCACACAGGAAGCTTTGCCGCTGGCCACGTGGCCGCCCTGCGGCTCTTGCTCCTACCCTGCCCTGGGCCCCAGACCCTGCACAGGGCCTCACAGGAGACCCCACGTGCATCCGGGCATCGGGAAAGGGCGGCGCGAGGCCCACCTGCCAGTCAAGGCCACACTGCAGGATCCACCACCTGCGTTGTCCCCGAGCAACTGCACGGTCATGAGCCGGAGCACACGCTGCAGACCCCACCAAGCACAGGCGCTGTCCAGGGTCAGCGGGCAGACCCCCACCGGCCTCAGATGGGGACGGCTGCTGGCCCCAGATGCCCTCTCAGCAGGTCCTGCTCGGCCTGGCAGAGGCAGGGCAGGCGGAGGGCACTGCAGGGCAGGGGTCTGCGTACCAGGCCAGGCCTGGCCAGCACTCCCCAGGCTGGGCCTAGGGGTCGACACCCGCCAAGGAAGCGGCCCCCACTAGCTGGGGGTGGCTACTCGTCGAGGCTCAGGGGCCCTGGCCTGGGGGACAGGCCATCTTCTCGAGGCAGAACCTAGAGGTAGCTCAGGGAGAGGAAGGGGTGGGTGTCCCAGAGAGGCCGACCCAGGCGCCAGGGGAGAAGCACGGCTCCCCCGGGCCAGGAGGCTGCTGCCCTGGGTGAGAGAGCCCTCGGGGCACGGTGAGGGCTGCGGAGGATCTTGACATGGGGTGGCCAGGACTGCAGGGTTAGGGATGGACAACAGGAGAGGCTTGCACCCTCCTCGGCTCAGAGTCAGCGTGAGGGTTCCTTGACCCACTGGCATTCAGCCCAGCAAAACTGACCTTGCAGACAGAGGGCCTCTGGAACTGCCCAGGGTCAAAAGGCTGTGCCCAGCCCAGCCCAGACTGAGAGGATAGGAGAGCATGGCCCGTTGAGTGGGGTCCCTGGGCCTCCCGGCACCCTATCCAGGAAGGGTCTCCACTGCACCCAGCTCTCTCCGTGCCCTGGAGAGCGATGCTCGGGCTGCAGCTGGGGTGCCCATGGGGAGCGTGGGCACAGCCTGCCCCCTCCTGCTGCCCTGCTGGCGTCGCCCAGTGCTGCCCCGCACCAGCGTCCTGGCTTTTCTGTTGCATGTGCGCTTAGCCGATCCACGGAGACGCCACAGAGGAGCGGGAGGAGGGGAAGGTGAGGGACTGCAGCTCCTGCTGCGCCCCCCTCACCAGGTCCTGGGGACCCTGGCCCTCTGGCTCTGCGGTCCTCCTCCCCGCCTGTCTACCTGTCCTCCTGTGCTCTTGGCACCACACGCCTAGGCCCTTAGCCAAGGGCCTCTCTGCTTGGCACAGTGTCCGCCGTGGGGCTTGGGTGCCGGGTGAGCTTCTGCCTGCCGAGGTGGGCAGTCGGTGGGACCAGCGCAGACCAGCCGCTCCCAGGCTCCTCCAGGCCCCCACCTGTCTGGGCCTCTTCCCTCCCTGGCCTCTGACCTTTGGCAGCAGGTCCTCCCTCTCTCTTCACCCTGCACTTCAGCCCTTCTCAGAGCCCCAGGGACCCCGAGTGGGGGGCCGAGGGGTGGGCTCAGCTGGAGAGGCAGGTGGCCCCCACAGGCCAGAGCAAAGGAAGACCCCATCTTGGTGGTCCCTGTCGGCAGGAGGCAGCCACCCCTCTCACCGGGTCTCTCTTTCTCCCCCTCTCCCCACACTGGTGCCGTGGTGACCAGAGAAGAAGCCAAGACCCCAGTGAGTATGGCGTCCGCTGGGCTGGGGTGGTCAGTGGTTATGGCCCCGGGTGGGAGGCCTGGGTCTGCCCTAAAGGAAAGGTCCAAGTGCTCAAACCACAGGGACCGATGTCGCCCAGGAGACAGACAGGAAGCACAGGAGGGTGTGACGCTGCAGGCCCCGGGGGCTGCCTGCAGGAGGAGGCCCCAGCCGAGGGAAGAAAGGCAAAACGGAGCTCAGGCTGCCCCCCAGCCTTGCTGTGCCCAGCTCTGCTGGGGGGTCTCCCAGGGCCCCAGATGGAAAACCAGACATGGAGTGCGTGTGGTGGGATGTGGAAGGAAGGGCTTCGCCACATCAGATGGACCCTGTCCACACCAGCTTGCTGCCTGGGCGCTCTTACGCAGGCCTCTTGGGAACCCTGCTTTTAGGGAGGGTCTTGCCCTCCTTTCACGAGATTAAAAAAAAAATCCAACCCTGACTTCCTGGCTTTGGTGGGACGCACAAGCCTCGGCCCTTCTGCAGAGCCTCTCCTGCCCCCCAGCAGCCTGCCTGCCCCCCACTCTGCCCCCCCAGCAGCCTGCCTGCCCCTCACTCTGCCCACCCCCCAGCAGCCTGCCTGCCCCCCACTCTGCCCGAGGTGGGACTCAGGTTTGCTCCCGGGGGTGGGGGTGGGGTCTCTGCAGAGTCGCAGGAAGGTGAAGATGCAGGAAGGGTTTGGCCAGCTATTCACGGCCTTTGCACTTTATTTTTTTGGCAATTTTAAATAAATTGATGCCAGAGCACAAGATATTTTCTCATTTTAGAAAATATTGTTTGTGTTTTCATTATGAAAACAAAACACCTTATTAAAGGAAATTTGGAAAATACATAAAAGTCAAACGAAGAAGAAGAAATTCATCCATCATTCTCCCACCCACCCACCAGCCCGCCAGACTGTGGAAAGGAACAGAAAGAAATAAAAATACTTATTTCTTCCTACTCTTTTTCCATGCAAAGGGCTCGGAAAAAAAGACCTCAACTCTAGCTGTTTTTCAAACATCAGACTGTCTATACAGCCTTGAATTCTGCTTTTTTAAAATTTAGCACTATTCATAAGTATTTTTCCATGTTTTTATATAGTCTTCTTAAATATTTTGAATGGCCACGTAATATTCCATCGATTGGACAAACGGTGGTTTTCCTGCCCATGCCCTGCTGCAGGCTCCCCAAGTTCTTCGCTATCATTAGTGACGCCGGGTGGACGCGTTTTCCGTCTTCAGGGCTATTTCCCTAGGCCACATTCCCAGAACTAGAATTACTGGGTCAAAGAGTATGAGCGTTCTTAAGACTGCCATGTCCCTTGCCAAATTGCTCTCCACGAGGGCTTGGCCAAGCGGGCCTCCTACGTGGGATGTGAGCCGTTCTGTGTCCCACACCCTCCTCACCCGAGGCAGAGGCTGCCTCCGCGCTCGCCCTTGATGGATGGCAAACGGCATCCCACGGTTGTTTTCCTTTGCATTCCTCCGATGGCGCGAGGGCCAGCCTTTCCCCGTTTGTGAACGGGTTGTCTTTCTTCTCGGAGAGGCAGTAGTTTGTGCCCTGTGCTCATTTATCTCACAGTGGACACGTCTCTATGTTTTCTCAATCATCAGTTTGCATAAGGATATAAGTCTTCTCTGTATTTGCTGAAAATATTTTCTTAGTCTGTGCTTTTCCCCTGGCTCCCGAGTTTGCCTTCTTGCACATACATAAGTTTCTCATTTGCATGGGGCCATCTGCACATCTCTCCCTTGGAGGGAACTTCTGATGCTTCCAAGCTCAGAAAATCCCTTCCCACTCCAGCGTTTGATCGACACCCCGCTCCACTTTCCTCTGTGGTTGTTTTAAAAAGCCCTTGTCTCAACTCTCCGCTCCATCTGGAACATATTGGTGGGAGGAGGGGGCTGCACGGCCGGTGGACCGGGGGCTCCTTCCTCCTAGAATGCCTCTTTCCCTCCCTGGGCCCCAGAAAGAGAGATTAAAGAGTGGCCAGAAAAGCGGGAAGGGTCTCCACGGCCGGTCCCGACCACAGAGGCAAACGCCACCCTTGTTCCCTGAGGGCTGCGGGGGCCACCCTGCCTCCTTGGTTTGAGACAGAAACTGAGGTGCCTTCCCTGCAGAGACGGAGAGACAGCCAGCAGAACCCGGGGGCTGGGGTGGTTGAGGCCTCCTCCAGGGGGCAGGCCCTGGGCGTGAGGGTCCTGAGTCTGACGAGAACAAAGCTCAGGTGAATGCACAGTCAGGCGCAGCGACCTCAACAGGGCACCAGGCCAGGGCCAGGGGGACTGGGGCACCAGGGCACGACAGCCCCCTTGGGTGGGCATCTCGGTATCCTCTCACCAGCCTCTCTCTCTTCCTCAGACTCACTGCTCCTAAGATCCCGGAAGGGGAGAAAGTAGACTTTGATGTAAGTGTACAGGACTCAAATCAGAGCGCCCCAAGCCTACCACTGAGCGCCAGGTGGGCCTCTGCCCCCTCCTCTCAAGTAGCAGAGCCAGGGCTTCATGAGCCAGCCCTGGACACACTCCTAGAATATGCACCTCTCCCTTCTCCCCACCCATCCTTCTCTCTCTCCACTCGTCATCCATCCA